GGGAACAGCCTGTATCTAGCTGTTGTCCTTCTTGAAATGCCTCCAAATCACCAGCCTTCCCTAATGCAGGAGCACCACTGCTGTAATTCCAGTTCTGAGAACACACTAATTAGGAGACAAGCCTCATGGCTTCACACCAACAGCCCAACCTCACAAAGGAGGCCAAGCACACCGGGCAAAGTTCTCTGCTGGTGGTGGACATCTATCAGGATGAGACCTGGTGTGGTTTTTCCTCCCTCATCTGCATGCACAGCAAATCAGTACCACCTCTGGCTACCAACAAACAAGGCCCGTTTCCTCCTCTCCCCAAAACAAAGAAATCCTAATTATCACAATACAGACAAGTATTCTTCAAGACAAATGGTGACACTAACACAAAAAATTCTGCAACTCAGGCCTAGTGACAGACTGGGCATTAGAGACCAGATTATCATTTTTATACAGTCTCGTTAGGGAATATATTCCTGCTATGTCTTATTAATCTTAGTCTCATTTACAAGAAAAATGTGCTTTGATTATTGGCCACAAATCAGTTCACACTAGTAGAACAAAACACAGAAGCAGCAAGAGCTATGCTGTTCTCATTTGGGACCCTGCTACAGACTTACTCCCTTCTCCTCTCCGCAGGGCTCAGGGAGCAGCTTCCTGCCCAGACAGGCTGGGGGAAGTTCCAGCTCTCCTAGCCAGTAATTCCAAGGCACTCCCGGCATCTGCCCGAGGCTGCCGGATCAAGGCTTTCTTCGCAATCACGTGCACAAGTCACTGCTGCATTTCATGCCCCAACTGCTCGAGCCAAACTGCAGCAGAGCAGGGACACACGGCACACGGTGCAGGAGCTGCTCCGGGCCCCAGCACAGGCTGATCAGCTCTGGGGCAAACAGCAGCCTCAGGAGCTGTGGCACTGTTACAGCTATTCCCTTCACAGCACTCTCAGAGAGGTATTCCAAAGCTGGCTTCACTCACAAGGTTCAGAAGATGTCACCTGTCAGCCTGCTGCTGGAAACCACAGATCCACGGGTTTTCCTCCATCAGAAATGCTCCCTAAATAGCTGAGTGTTTCGTTGGTGCTTTTTTTTTATGGGGAGGTTTTGATTCTTTGCATATTTAACCAGTACATAATATGAAATGCTGTTAGGAATATTTACATGAAGTTAAATACAGTTGCTGTGAATAACCATAGAAAACACATATCCTGAGCAGCCTTTTTATCAAACCCTACACAGCACTTGTGACTGAAATAATAGAATTCAAAGAAAAACACTGAAATTTTGAAGGACTTGATCACCTAAGTGCAATTTTCCCAGTCTATTCCCCCAGGAGATGTGCACTTCATTGAAGAAAACTAAATTTCAACCAAAACCTGAGAACTTATTACTTTGTCAAGTCGAACAAAAAAACCCAAACTAAACCCAAGCCACACCTGTGGCAGGAGAATGCTGTCAGAGATCCAAGAATAAATACAGTTTTAATTAAACTTGTCTCATCATCTAATCCTGGAAGAAGCTTTGGTGTTAGTATAATTTGGGACCCACTGCAATGCTTCTCCAGCAGATGTTGTCAGAGGAGAAAGCCACCACAATGCAGCCGTGATGTCCTTTCCCTCACCCCTTCTTCCAAGCAACTGAATACTGTTAAACAGGAAAATAAAAACCCAAGGGAGCCCACCACAGGCTCTGTCCCAGATTTTGAAGGAACTGCCTTTTGCAACCATCAGATCTAGAAAATGTTTTCACAAATTTTAAAGGGATCTTTCTTCTGTTAAGTAACAGGAAAGCAAACATTGCTTTGCAGTTATCTCTACCCAACAATCAAAGACAAAGAAAAAGAAAATGAAAGTGACCACAAGAGAAGCAGCCAGGCTGTACTTTCCAAGCTAAAAAGAAAATTACATGGCTGGAATTCTAAAGTCAGTGCCTGTAATGACTCAATCTGTACTTGGGAACATAAAACAGTTTAAAAGCAGGACTTGGCCAATCCTTAGACCTCAAGTAGAAGTAATAACACTGAGAAGATTCTGCAACTCAGTTTAATTCCCTGTACCTCAGGGTGGGGAGCAGAACACACACTAAGACAGCAGGACTACAACCACCCAAGACATTGTAATAATGTAAGGCAGGATGGAACATACATTAATACTGAAGTCTGTAATTAGAAAGCAACACTGACCAATTATGAATGAGGATGATCTGACTAATGAATAGCTCTAAGTGAGAGGTACAAGCTTGCAAGACAGGAGAGTCATCCCTCAGATGGCAGCAAAGCTTCAGAGAAGGAACAGAATGCAATTACCTCGTGACCATGGGCATAGTACTGACTTGAGAGGCTACTCCTGGAGACACTTTGTACATTTTATGACTGAATACCATAAATAGTCAGTTTATTAATCCCAAGATCACTTGTGACTGCAGTAAAATAGATTCCAACCCTAGTAACAGACCAATACTGCATATTTCTCCTCAACAACATGTATTTTAAGTTGAAAATGGTTTTGATTTCAATTAGCAACATTAATACATGCCATAGTGCAAAACACTGCTTTCTGTTTGGAAATGGCAGAAATCCCCTCCATGGCCTTTAGCCTATTCCATCAATTACATTACTCCACAGCCACAATCAAGGCTTTTTCTTGGTGATCTAAAGCAGATGGACTTCTCTAACAATCATGCACACCATCAAATCAGGAAAGTAACAGGACAACTGACCTGGCAGTTTAATAACAAAGTATTTTTATGTACCATTAATAGCTTTTTATGTTTTGCAATGCACCTTCAACAACTTTTCTGCTCATAAAATATGTTTCCAGGGCAAGGAAGCACACTAGAACTGTGTTTAAGATCTTGAGAAGACAAAGAGGACTGAGCTCTTTCTCTAAGAGAAGCAGCCAGTGTAACCTTCCAGAACATGAACCCTGACCCTTTCCAGGTTCCCATGAATATTCCCAGTATTATGCTTCCCACCCAGCCACCCTCTACTTTTTCTTGAAGTACCAGACTATCAATTCCATAACTGCTCAAAGACAAGCAATCTGAGATTCTTCCCTCCTACCCTGAACTTGATTCTTGTTCTAAGACAACTAGGAACAAGCACAGTGACACTGCACAGAAGCCTGTGACACACCATTACTAGATACAGTTACTCATCCTCGTGATTGCCTGATCCAGAGCCCTGCACAAGTGCTGAGAAGAGTCTGACAGGTCAAGCAGGGCAGTATTATGCCTCACAGTAATGAAGATGTCAGAGTTCTCCTCACAACTTTTATTTTTCACAGCCCAGGACAAAAACTGTGGATCCAAAGGTTTTGTGGAGAATATTTTGCTTTAGGAAAGAGTCCACAATGGCTCCTTCCAGCAGAGCACTTCTGATGACTTAAAACAATTCAAGTGAGGTCACTTAAAAACACCTAACAGACTGTTCATTTTCCCAAATTTGGATAAAGTTATACATTATATTTGCAAATGATTGTTTTAAAAAGGCTCTCCTACACCATCCTGGGATAACTGCCAGAAAACAAAATGGAAAAGAACAGCCACAAGAGCCTACTAATCTGAAGTTATTGCAAAGACACATCCACAGTAAAATGCTTTGAGAAGTGCTGGGTTCAGGGCCAGAAGCCTGTGAGAGCACACTGACTGCCTCTCACCAGCCAGTGCATAACATCTGTCCTGTCTTCTGGCTGAGCTCAAGCATCATGTACTCACTCAGGAGGCAGGATCTACCACATCCTCTGAGCAGCTCAGAGCTGACTTCCCCTCACTCTTTAGAACACACACCTTCTAGATCAATAGCTCCCGCTGGTACAGGTTTTTCAGCCTTAATTAGTGGCATTTCAGGTATCTGTTTTTACATAGCACCACAGGATATTCCTTATTTGAATCCACCTTTGAAGACAGGTACTGACTCTCAGACAAACACCAACTCTAACAAACCCAAAAACATCTGGGGACAGCCTCTGCCATGTGAGCACCTGTATCACATCCCTCACACTGCAGCCTGGGATCACTCCAGCTATTCAGGCAAGTCTGTTTCCTACACATTTTGAAAGGAAAGCAAAGGCTCAGACCTGCAGAGTATCAAGTGCCTCCTTGCAAGACACCCCAAGGGTAACTCCTGTACACTTTAACAGAGGAGAGTGATTCTGCATTTGAGCCGGAGCTGGGCAGGCACCAGCAGCAATCCAGCTGCCCTCACCCATGGCCTAATATCCTGGGAAGAGAAGAACTGAGAAGCAAAAAGGATGACAGCTGACTTACAGCACCAGTGTGGAAACTGAGTGCCTTCTTCCCTTTTCATGGCTGTGATCTCCAAGGGGGAAGTTGTTCTCTTGCTGCAACTCCAAACAGCAGCTGACCACTTCTTCTGGTTTTCACCACTGCATCAGATTAACACTTTCAACCAGGTCCACTAACCTCCCTGTTCTTCTGCAGTTAAAGAACTTTTAGAGATCTTTTAAAGCCTTAAGACACTGATGTTTTCAGCCCATGCTTGGTTTTGCCCAGTCTGGATGCTGGGAATGGGGACAAGCACCACAAGAGCAGCAGTTCTTCCACAGGACTGCCAGAAAACCAGAAGTGACTCTGGTCAAAGACTGCTGCAAGTTTCACAATAAAATCATGCTACCCACCATCATCAGGCATAAACACATCAGACAGGACTTCCTGTCATCCTCTTCCCCAAGAACTGACCCTTTACATCTGTTACTGAAGTGCCTTTTCATTAAAAACAGCACTTACAGATCTTCCTCCATCATAAAGAACAGATTCATGTTTATATATAAAGCACATTGTATTATTTTGTAGCTGTTGTCATGAGCCCATTAGGACAAGCTCATACTACATAAATCAAAGCTAAACTGCTACATCCTAGTGTCTTTTTGATTAACACAGCTCTAACACACAGACACAAAGAGAAGCTATTGAAAGCCAAGGAACCACATGGATACCTCTAACTTACAAAATGAAACCCAAGACTGAGTTTATGTCCCAACTCCAGAGCCATTTTACCTGCAGGCAGGACAGCCACCAACTACTACAACAGAAGTGGTGGTAGCAGGCTGCTGAATAATGGTGTACGTGCTCGAATAGTTTGGCTGTGGTGTCGGTGGAGGAACAGCATATCCTAAAACAAGAGAAAAACCTCAGTCACCACACATCAGGCACAAAGATCATTAAAACATATGAAAGCAAAAGATGGAAAAAATAAGCAGAAATGTGGTCTCGATTGAGCACTTTAGGGTCTATCAGAATCAGTTGGTACACACTACTTAGCACATCTAATAGCAAAGCCACTTCACAGGCCCAAGTATGTAGCACAATTTAACCATCTCAAAAGGACACAGAGCTAATCATTAACCTTGAGAATTCGTTTGAATGCTCTTGAGCACCAGGGAAAAACAGCTTAAACAATGACCACAGCTTTCACTTCTGGATGTTATGTATCAGGTGTGTTCCACTCCAGCTGACAAGTTCAAACAGAATTAATCTCCCTCTGGTTTCGAGCTTACCTTGCACGTACTAAGTTTGTAACTGGAGAGAGAGGTAGGAGTGATTGGATGCAAGTAGAAAGGAAGCAAGGAAAACCCCCAACTTTCAGAAAGCCCACGGTGTTAGCTAGTGAATGAGGCATTTTAACAGATGTAGCTAGAAGACATAATCCTTTAACTACTGCATTAACAATAAAAATTTTCAGTTTAGAAAAAAAAGCTTTATAAAGGGATTATTAGATGTATACAGTGTAACCAATACATTCAAGGTACACTTTGCTCAGGTATGATCTCTTTCGAGCTTCTTTCTCAGGGCACAGTTCTGATTTTCTTCAATCAAGTTATGCATCTGTGAAGTCCAGCAACCTCACTACTGAAAGTGAAAACAATCAGTAACATTTGTATTGTAGGAAAAGAAGCTCAAATTATTAGCAGGAAGCCAATCTACGGCCTCAAGGTTCAACTCAATGCCTGGTGACTGAGGTCTGTGTCTGCCGTGTAGTTTTTATAACTTTTGAAGCATTCCTCTTCGCTGAGAGGTTACTTCTTTCCTTGATGGACGCCAGTATTAATTCAGTTAAAAGCGCTGCATTACTCACCCGCTTAAATCTCTCCAAGGCTACTGAAGCGTATCAGAAAAAACCCAAACATTAACCAGAGCGCATGGCGAGTTCGGGGTCTGTTTCAGGCTAGCACAGCTGTGCCCCTGCTCCGAGGCAAACCCCACGCGCGCGAGCGCTGCCCGCGACCCAGCCGGCTTCGGGGGGCAGCAAAACCCACACACACACACACACACA